AAAACGGAAGTGCTTCCTCCTAGGAAACACCAAGGCGATCCACGGAAAGCACGAGGCCCCGGGCGCACCGAGGGGGCTGCAGGGGTCTGGCTGCCCCTGGGCTGAGCGAGGCGTCTCAGCCCGACCGGTCGGGGGCAGGGCGCGACCCCGCGGAATCTGGCTGAAGCCCGCGCCCTGGCCGGGGCCGGGGTCCGCACCGCGCAGCCGCCCCGCCCTCGGGAAGGCGGCTCCCTGGCGCGCCGCGCCGCCCGGGCCCGCTCGGACCCCGGCCGGGGGAGCGGGGCGCGCCCGCAGGGACAGCAGTGACGCGGCGCGGGCCGGCAGGACCCCCACACGCCACCCCAGGGCGGCCCGGCCCCTCCCCAGGCCGCGGCTCACCAGGGCCGACTTGGACGCTGTGACAAGAGGGTACGCCCGCCGGGAAATGGCGGGCACTGCCGCCGCGGGTCCGGCTCAGAAGGGGCTCCGATTCCTCCCGGGGTTCCGCCATGGGGTCACAGCCGGCCACCCGGACCCCACACAGGCACAAGACGCGAGCGCCGAGCTCCACTTGCGCAGGCGCAATGTCCCCGCCCCCGGGGTTCGGGAGGAGGCGGGGACAGCCCCGTGATGTACGGGACGCTCCTTCCTACCAGCCAATGAAGACGGAGAGCTTGCTCCTGGAGGCGGGGGCTTAGCCGACCACGCCTCCTGGTGGGTGGGGCTCAGCTTCCTTCCATCAGGGCGGGGCTCTAAGGCCTTCTAAGGAAGGCCTTCTCTCTCAAAGGGCGGCACCCGGCCAGCTCCGTCAGCATCACGTGGGCACGGGTTAGAAATGCACATTCTTGGGCCCCCTCAGACCCGCTGAATCGGAAACTCGGGGCAGGGCCCAGGGATCTGTGTTTTGCATCTGACTTTTGGGTACATGGGAGTGACGCCGAAGGTCATCCCCCAAAATGGAATTTGAGTTTACCCTCTGATAATGAAATTAGGGAGGTTAAGTATAATTGAGGGTAAAGTTTATAATGACAAGCGATACATTTGAAAAATTATTTACACTATATATAAAAAGTATTTCCAACATTAATATGTAAAGAGCTTTTTTTCTATTGCTGCAGTGACACAATACCACAAATTTAGCTTAAAACAACTCCCACTTATTATCTCTAAGTCCTGGAGGTCAGAAGTCCAGTGGCTGGGCAGGGTTCTCATCTCAAGGCCTCAGGAGGCCAAAGTCAAGGTTTCAGCCCACCTGGGCTATAGGCTCATCCAGGTGGGTGGCAGATTCACTGCCATGGGGCTAGGACTGAGCTACCCATTTCTTCTCTTTTTTATAAATTTATTTATTTTATTTATTTCTTTTTGGCTGCACTGGGTCTTCGTTGCTCCGCCCTGTCTCCGTCTTGGAATTGGGAGGAAGAGGGAGAGGGACACTGGGACGAGAGGGGCTGTGGTGAGGAGAGAGGCGGAGACTGAGAAGAGGAGAGGGGCAGAGGGCATCGGGACCGCCCTCAGCTACCATCTTTCAGCTGTCCTCGGGAGAGAGAAAGGGAAAGGGAGGGGGCGGGGGCGGGAGTGGGGGCTCTCACCCTCGGACTCCGGTGTGAGAGGGGCTGTGCCGTCGGAAGTCCTCGGGGTAGGCCCCCTATCAGTGGCCAAAGACCTGGGGCTCAGTCCCCTCCGTCCTGAATTTCCGGGCCTGACCCCACGCTTCTCAAATATCCGGGTCTCAGCTCCTGAGATTCCAGATATCTGGGACTCCTCTCTAAACCTGGGGCTCTGATTCACAGGATTTCAAATATCTGGGGTTCAGGACCCACAATCAGAAATCCGGGATTCAGCAACCTGCGCCCTCGAGGAGGGGCCCCTCAGGAAGGGGCGGGAGGATGGGGGAAGAGGCGGCAAGGGGAAAGGTCTCCTCGGCCCTCTCCTGCTTGGCAGAGCCGTTGCCGGACCCCAGGAGGAGGTGGAGACTCTGGGCACCAGTGTGACCCCTAGCAGGTCAAGCCCCACTCTCAGGGCTCCCAGGGGCCACCATGCCGGGCCGGGAGCCTGAAGGACCCCGACGTGGCTGAGCTCTTCTTTAAGGACGACCTGGAAAAGCTCTTCTCTGACCTCCGGGAAATTGGCCATGGCAGCTTCGGAGCCGTGTACTTTGCTGCGGATGTCCGGAATCGTGGGGTGGTGGCCCTCAAGAAGGTGTCCTACAGTGGGAAGCAGTCAAATGAGAAACGGCAGGGCATCATCAAGGAGGTGCGGTTCCTGCAGAGGTTCCGGCATCCCGATGCCATTCAGTACCGGGGCTGTTACCTGAGGAAGCACGTGGCTTGGGTGCCGGTGGAGTACCGCCTGGGCTCGGCTTCTGACGTTCTAGAGGTGCACAAGAAGCCCCTTCAGGACGTGGAGATTGCAGCTGTGAACCACGGGGCCCTTCACGGCCTGGCTTATGTGCGCTCCAACGACGTGATCCGTAGGGACGTGAGGCTGGAAACATCCTGCTGTCAGAGCCAGGCCTGGTGAAACTGGGGGACTTCGGCTCTGCACCTGTCATGGCACCTGCCACCTCCTTCGTGGGCGCCCCGTAATGGATGGCTCCAGAGGTGATCCTGGCAATGGATGAGGGGGCAGGACGATGGCAAGGTGGATGTCTCCGTCCTTAGGCATCACCTGCACCGAGCTGGCGGAATGGAAACCACCGCTGTTTCACATGAATGCGATGAGTGCCTTATACCACATTGCAGAGAGCGAGTCCCCCGTGCTCCAGTCAGGACACTGGTCTGAGTACCTCCGGAATTGTGTCGACTCCTGCCTTCAGAAAATCCCTCGAGACAGGCCAACCTCAGAGGTTCTTCTGAAGCACCGCTTTGTGCCCCGGGAGCAGCCACCCGCAGTCATCATGGACTTAATCCAGAGGACCAAGGACGCTGTCCGGGAGCCGGACAATGTGCAGTACCGCAAGATGAAGGTACTGTTGCAAGAGGCGCCCAGTGGCCCTGGCGCTGAGGCCCCAGAGGAGGAGGCCGAGCCCTCCATGCAGCGGGCCGAGACACGGGCCGGTCTAGAGAGCCCTCCAGCCAGAGCAGCTCAGTCAACAGCCTGGCAGACACCTCTGACAAGGAGGCACAGGCCCTGAAGCCCGGGACACGGCCACGATGCAGGAGGGTGAGCACGCCGTCATCTCCCACAGCTCCGTCGTCCGCCGGCTGCCGGGCTCTGACAGCCTCCATGACGACCCCTACCCGCCAGAGATGAGCCCGGGCCCTCTCCAGCCACCTGCAGCCCCAGCTCCCACATCCACCACGTCTTCTGCCTGCCAACGGGCCTACTGCCACAGCCGGGACAGCTCTGCCACCATCCGTACTGCCTGCCTGGTCAGCCGTCAGACCCGGGAGCACGGGCAGGACTCAGCCCTGCGGCAGCAGCTGCAGGCAGAGGCGACAACAGCACCGGACACCGCTGCTGGCGTCGGGGCTGAGGTTGAGGGCTGAGCCTCAGGAGCGGGAGCTCGACGCGCGGCGGGCTGGCTTTGAGGCTGAGGCCGAAAAGCTGTCAAGGCGGCACCAGGCTACCGGCGAGAAGGCGGCGCGAGCGGCCCAGGCTGAGACGAGTAAGTGCCAGCAGCACGTCCTCGGGCAGCAGCAGAAGGAGGCGGCCGCCCTGCCGGCGGCGCAGAAGCGTGCCTCCAAGCTTCGGAAGGCTCAGCTGAAGGAGGTGGGATGGGCCTGCAGCGGTGGGTGGGGCTGATGGAGGGTGAGGCGGCCCTGACCTCCTTGCTGTCCCGCTGCCCTTGCCGAGGAGCGCCAGAAGCCCAGCACTGCCAAGTGGGAGAAGCCCGGGTGGCTTTTGCGGCCGAAGGAGCAGCTACAGCAGCGCCAGGCCTTGGAGCTGCAGTGTCACCAGTACAAGCGCGAGATGCTGCTGGCTCGTCACAGCCTGGACCAGGACCCGCTTCGAGAGGTAGGCCACCCCCTCCCCTGTTCCCCTCCCAGATCCCAGACACCCACATCCTTTTCCATTTGCCTCACTTGTGGTTGCCTTTTCCCTCTGCCCTCATTCGTGCTAGGGCCCGGCTTTTTTTTCCACACCTCGTTCGCTTCTCTTGCCCGCCAGACCCTGCTAGAGTTCCCAGGCCCGCCAGGAGCTTGGCTCCCTTTCACCTCTCCTCTGCACCCCGCGTCTCCCCACCCTCGGCTCCCTCTGCCGAGGAGTCCTGGGGCTCTCACTTCCTTGACACCGACAAGGCTTTCGGACCAGTTTCTGGGCCCTGCCTCTCTTTTGCCTCAGGACTTGAACAAGAAACAGACACAGAAGGACTTGGAGCGTGCATTACTGCTACGCAGCATGAGACCACACGGGAGCCGGAGATACGCCAGCCCCAGGCCGTAGAGCGCACACGGGCCGAGCTGGCCCGCCGGCAGCAGCAGACGGAGCTGGGCAACCAGCTGGAGTACAGTAAGCGGCGTAAGCAACACCGCGGCAGAGTACGCGGCCCAGGATCGCCAGCAGCCCAAGAGCCTCAAAGTACGTGCAGGCCGGTGTTCCCCGGGCCTCCCGCTCCCCGCTCCTGGGGCTCTGGGACCACCTAACACAGGCACCCTTGAAGAAGAGCAGCCCTGCTGACCTGGCCAGGAGGCAGACCAAAGAATCCTGGGAGGGCTTCCCCGGCGGCACAGTGGTTGAGAATCCGCCTGCCGATGCAGGGGACACGGGTTCGAGCCCTGGTCCGGGAAGATCCCACGTGCCGCGGAACAACTAAGCCCGTGCGCCACAACTACTGAGCCTGCGCTCTGGAGCCCGCGAGCCGCAACTACTGAAGCCCGTGCGCCTAGAGCCCGCGCACCGCAGTGAAGAGCAGCCCCCGCTCGCCGCGACTAGAGAAGAGCCCGCGCGCAGCGACGAAGACCCGACGCGGCCAAAAATAAAATAAAATAAGTAAATTTTTTTAAAAAAGGAGAAGAATCCTGGGACAGGAGGAGGGAGCAGCTCCAGAGAGGAGGATCCTGGGGAAGGAAGGGGCTGCCTTGGAGCCAGGAGAGCAGAGGATACTGGGGAAAGAGTCAGGACCC